TCCCAGAAAGGCTGAAGTAAAGTGTGGTGCACTTACAGAGGCTGTGTGGTGTCCTCTTTCATTTGCTTTATTTAGTTTTTACATCCAGTGTGAATCCGTCAGAATCTGTTCAAAGGTCCTGAGTCTTTCTTTTCCGCTCCGCCTTGATGCACTCACACGGGACAACTGAGTTTGGAGACAGCTTCCTGGAAATAATGGTTTCCCCATGTGTTGTGTTGTTTGGTACAGAGGCCATGGAGGGAATGTCTTAACAATTTACTGATTGAGGTGTTTTGCCCACCAACTTTTTGAATCTGTTTTGATTATTGTCCATTAAGCAGTCTTTAAACACTGCCAGAGCCCTTACCGTGTTCCCGTCAGTGTTCACTTCCTGTCTGTCTTCTTCTGCTGATTTCTCTGTCCTCCAGCCCTCTGTCCTTTAGTCCTTCTCTTTAGCTCTTTTTCTTTCTTTCCTTGGAGCTTGCAAGAAACAGCGTCTGAGGGCTTCTTAACATTTAACAACCTATGAATGTGTCATACCCATTGAACGGGAAGAAACTCAGCTACCTAGCGATATGAACCATTTTTACTGAAACAAAACACAAGTCTAAGGCCGAGCTTCTGAACTAGCACTAAGAGAAAGAGTGCTAACGCACTTAGCACATAACTCACGGTAGAAATATTGTATACTTCATCGGATCTGCACAAACTAGATATCATATGAAAGCTGAGATTCCACAGATTCCATTGGTATGAGTATCATCACTGAGCGACCGGAATTCACCGCAGAGAAAACGAACCCAGACAACACACAACTTCACTTTAATTAGCCAAAACGGCAAACACGTCTTACCTTTGCTGTTTTCTGATCAGAGTTGTGTTCAATGGCATTAAAACGCATAAAACGCTGCTGAAGGTTAATCCAATGTCTCTGTGTCCCTTTGAAATGATTACTGATAATCCATCATAACATTTATGTCAATAAACAGAGTTTTCATATAGAGTGTATGAGAGCTGTAACCCAGCTTCCGGTTGTGGGCCTGCTGGCTGCGCATCACTCTCATTCACCAATGGGTAATTTTTAAATGGATTTAGGAACTCCCCCTCGATTCTATTGGCTCTGACGGTAAGAAAGAGATGTCAATCGTCAAAATCGACCAATGGGTTCCAGAGATATGGAAATCCACCCAAATGGCCCCAGAAGAGGTTTTTTTTTTCTAAACCTCTCTAAAAAGGTCAAATGTCACTTGTTTCGCATCAATCTTGATACAGGGTACTTATTATATGTTGTAGTTTGGATTCCTAAAGCTTTTAGTCTACTAACCCATCATTCAAGGTTGGGTTTCACTTTAAGTCATGGGTTATTTTGAACGGACACTATCATTTACAGTTTTTTACCATGTTCAATCTGAATTTACTTTAAAATAAAAACATCTATATTGATTCTGACTCTTCTACATCCAACTCACAGGTTTATCATTTTGAGAAAAAAGATTATTAATTTAACCCTTTTAGAAGGGAAGATATGGTCATTTGCTCTGGGAATGTCATCTTTGAGCCTGAGACCTGAAAAACAGGCTTGGGGTGGAACAGGTTGAATGTCCTTGTGTGGCTTCCAAAGTGCATCTGCATAAAAGCATCCTCAACTGCATTTTACACAGCTGTCCAGTTGCAGCCCTTTGAACGCAGTGGAACAAACCATTTTTCTCTTATCGGTAGAAATACAATAATCTTTTTATTATTAAAACGATAGTTACAAACGATAAAATGGAAGCATATCTTTGATAATACAGGAGATATACAGACCTAAAGAAAACATTACTCATCATACCTTTGTCTTTTGTTGCTTTTAAAGTTGTTTCAGAAGAAGCAATGCAAAACTCCTGTAAACTTTCCTTTAGGTAAAGTCATTATTTCACAATGTATGCTTTTGTCAATGAGGCTTAATGTTGAGGTTTGTCAAAGCCTGTACGCTGAAAAATAATTGCGATGGGACATCTGTCTTCCTAAATAAAGTCTCCTTTGAAGCATGGGTATGTGAGATTTTATATTCAAACCCACTGCCATTGCAGAGGGTTTGAATGTCTACAACAGTGAAGAGAATGGAGACGCATTGAATGAAAGGACTTAGTACATAACAGATGGTACAAAAAAGGAAACATGTAAATAAGCTTAAATGCACATAAACTCAACTTTTTTGCTAAATGTCACATTTGATTGGGTTGCAGGAGAAATCTGAAACTCACATCACTCACAGTCTGTTTGTATTAAATGACAATTGAAGTTCCATTACCGTTGGCTACTTGAGGTACTTTCTCTCCTCCTTGCTTCTCTCTAGGGGGAGACTCAATCACTCCATGTTCCTATATTCCTCTCTCTCTGCCTCTCACCTTGTCTGTCGTCATGGCCAGAGTAAAAGCTATTCAACATTAATCCAGCTTTCCCTTTCTTATTGCTTTGTGCCGCCTTTATCTCCCGAAAGTGCTGTGGCGCCAGATGATTGACATAGGCATACCGGTATCCGGTATTACCGAAATACCGGTTACTGGTGGCCACGGTATACCTTACCGAAATCAGATCCGGTTTTGATACTTTAAAAAAAAAAAAAAAAAAAAAAGTCCACTCAAAGGATGCAGTGTGCGTGTCCATAACCCTGCCTCTGTTTGGCTGGTGTTCGTTATGTCCGTTGGTTTGGTTCAGGCATGAGGAGAGGGAATGGCAAGCATGGCTGTAGAATCACTCTATACTGTACATCTGCTTGTTGGTAAAAGAAGACTCCGGTTGCATTCAATGCAAACTACAGAATATTTGAAAAGATATAACCTTAAAAGAAATGAATGAATCATTGTTTTTGTTTTTTTAAATGCAACCAATCAAAAAGATGTCAAGCCTTGCACCGTAGCATAAAGTGAAAAGCAGCAGACATGTGTCGGCTGTTTGTACTAATATCCCAGATGGATGAAGTGGTGCTTTAATATCTTGTATTGTACATTTAAACCGCTATTCCCTTTAGGCATCTGGCATTCACTCTCAGGTGTGTACACCTTACACACCTGAACAAAGGTCTGTCTGCTCTCCCTGTGTTTACTTTACCCCTCCTTCTCTTTCTCTGAGAAGACTTGTGGTGACAGAGAGTAATGGACAAAACCTTTGCTGTGTCTCCTTGTTGTTACTGGCTTCCCTCGCATCACTGCCCAACAGCTAGGCAGGCAATGTACCAACAGAATAGGTGTGTGCTTTACCTAGCTAGCATTTTACACGCTCCACTCTAGCTAGCAGTAGGTTTTCTTTGCTCCTCTAGTGTGCCTCTGTTGGAGCTCCGACTCATTCTGATACATTCAGACCCTGCTTTGAGGTCTAGTTTACTCTAAATGAGTAATTTACGAAACGAACTTCATGCTGTGTTGAATAAGACAAAACCCATAAATTGTGGCCATAGTCTCATTGGTAACAACGTGATTTAACCTACTGTACGACGATAAGCATGCGGCTGTTTTCTCAGGCTCTATTCATCAGCTGTGTTCTGAATATGAATAATAATCAAGGTTGTAAACATTCTGCTATGCTACGAGTCAGAAAAGAAACCTTATCTGACCGAGGCCTCGGTTTGGGAGACAGAAATTCAGAGTTGATTTGGGCAGAGGAGGGATCACTGTGGTGTCAAAGTAAATTCTCTGCCCATAACTTCCAAAAAGTCTTCATTGTAGGACATCAGTTCAAAGCTCTCCAGTGTACTACTTGTGTTCCGGTTCTTTGCTTCAAGAATTTCATCACTCTCTTTGGGAAAATGTTGTAATTAATCAAGTGAGATGGGAGGGTCATTTACAATCAGACTTTTGTTTTGTTGAAGTGCTTTTTCAAACTTTCACACGTGTGTCACACGTGTGTCGTGCAAACACAACTTTCTTTATAGAGAAATGAAATGTTGTATTACAGATCTGATCAACATGTCAATTAGGTCCAATGGGACATTACTTTTGGCAAATAATAAGATTTTCAAACAACATTATCAGAGAAGAAGAAGAGTGGTGGTGGCATGCAATAACAAAAGAAGGTAAAGGTAAAAAGTCTGAAATGGTAAATCTATCAAAGTAGTATTACTGTATGGAATGATTGGTTCCTTTATGACAGGGATCATGTTATGGAAATCTGAGACCCAACACTGTGGAGAGTACAAGTCAGAGTGATCAAAACAAATAAATGGTGAATCAGACAGAGTTGTCTTTCTGGTTATTTATTTGAAGCTTCAAATACATAAGATACAATACATAGACACAGGTCTCACAGAGTATAGCATAGTCTGCGTGAGTGTGCGCAGATATAAAAAATAGCAAAGCTTATATATAAGAAAGAGTGGGAAGTTCAGAAATCTGTCTTCACACGGTCATATTGTTATTAGACACCTGTCCTTGAGCTGTAGATAGTATAACGGTTCTTGTGTGACTTTGTGTGAGTCTCAACCTAGTAGCCAAATCAGCTCTGTGGCCTTGAAGTGCTTGGGAATAAACCCACAGTGGAGTATAAGAAGAAAACAGTACATCTCAGGAAATGATATAGGTGTTTTACAATGTGTTGAGAAGCATTTGGTTTAAGCATATAAGGATATAATAAAAATGTCCACTACATTCTCCCCTTTTGATCATACTTGATCAATACAAAAACAAACGACAGGATTGACTGATATAACACATCAATGAATACACTCCATCGCTGGTTTAAGTAAACACATCACAAATATATCATAGAAAACTGGCTGTTTTTGTGGAGGACAGACTCCAATATAATGTAAGCATAAGAGGAGAGTACACTCGATTCACATGATTATATTGATTATATTGTAGTGTCGGAATCAGACTCTTCTGATTCTAGCTGGTCTATCTCACTGTGGCGCAAAGGATTGTCGTGTAATGGAATAGCAGTATACTGAACGAAAGCTGAGGATACCATGCTGGACTCAAATCCACTAGAGTGCATGTACCTATCCAGAGGGGAGCCAGAACTTGATAGAGCTTGTCGCAGCATCACTGGGCCAGGCCAGTTGGAGGGAAATATGGTTAACATCAGGGAATGCTACGTTAGAAAGGATTCTTCCAGGGGCACCGACTATGCGACAATACGAGATATTGTAAGCACCGTAACTGCACGTGTTCCGTAGGATACGAGTACAACCAGTAGTAGTGCCTAGGAAAAAATAAGGTGGTGTAAGAGACGTTTTGTGGTACACTCTCTGGATGCAGAGGCTGTGTTTCATCCCTCTCAAATGGCTGGGGTGCACATGGCTGACGGGTTGGTACTTTGCGTATGTGGTATCAAACGTAGATGCACGCAGAGGGGAGTTAGATGGTGGGGGAAGCGGCCTGGCATAACGCCACTCGGTTACGCGGTCTTCACCCTTGATGGGCCTTGTCAGAGCCATAAACGCGCAGAGGTGTTCAACCTGGGTCAGAGAGCGCGGACGAACTGGCACTGACATTGATGAGTCCTGGGGAAAAAGGGTGCATGCATAACATGACCCATTTTGTCCTGCGGCCTGCAAGAATGATCTCAGGGTGTGCCACCAGACGTTACCGGTGTTCCCATTACTAGTCTGAACCACATCAATGTTGCTATGTCGTTATGGCCTATGTATAGGTTACGTTTTAGAAGTGTAGATGTACCTATGGATGTCAACAGTTGCGTCAAAGGCTGCTTACCCTTTTCGGGGGTCTGAGTTTTGGGCGCGATGTCTATGTAAAATGTGCCACACGGGTCGGTGCCGGATACATACATACAGACAACATAATAACCCCCGTCTGATATCTGGGCAGCCTGTAGTTGCAACAGGATAACGGGGCTTGATGAATTGACCTTGGAGATAGACAATCTCTCTTTGATGTTTGTTTTGTCGTCCCATAGGGTATAACCCCAATCGGTGTACGCGGTGGTCCATAAAACAAAAGTCCAGCCCGCCGAGCAGTGAGTGGCGGTGTGACTGTCACTCTCGACATAGCATATGTAGGCATCTGCCCACCCCAGTTTCTTAGGGTCGGGGCAATGCATGTAGTCGCACGGGTCTAACTGTACTGTGCTATCTTCCCCATCCCTTAGAGCAGGGGTGGGGAACCTTTTTCCTCTCAAGGGCCATTTCAATTTTTACAATATCCTCAGAGGGCCGTACAAATTATTGACCTCTGCTTAAAAAAACTAAAATCACAGCCCATTCATTTCATTCTGTGCAAAGAAAAAGCAACCTCTTAATCCAGATATCTCACCATGACTCGCGCATGCATGCACGTGCACGGTGTGGCGTGACCACCAAAACAGAAAGATATGGACACAAGATGTGTGCAAATGTATTTAGTTTCCTATGTGGACATGATTTAAGTGGGGGGGGACCTAACCTCCTCTAGGGGGGTCCGGGGGCATGCTCCCCCGGGAAGATATTTTTTTTAAATGTTGAATTTAAAAGCATCAATCTGGTGCACTTTGAGAGCAACATTAGGAGATCTATGGAAACATCTCTCAACACCCATATGAAACAGAACTGTAAACAGATTTACTTTTTCTTTATGAATATTTTACAAATCACTCCCCTTTCAAACTTTATTCTTCTTTATTAATAACAACTTTTTTTTACTGTCATATAGTATTTTATACCCGTTTACTTTATTCTCTTATTTTTGTATAACTATAATGATCATATAAAGATGTGCCTTTACCTCACTGGTTGTAGAAAAAGCTTCTTATATTCGTTAGCATAGCTAGCTAACCAGATGATAATAACAAAGAAGTTATTGACTGTATGATCAGTATGACAGATGAACAGATCGCCACTGGGCTTACAACTAAAGACACAGCCACGCAGAAACTGCAGCATGTGTACGGCTCCTTATCGGTACTGCAATTTCTGAAGTGCTGGAGTGGCATTCTGGTGCTCTCCGTCAGAACTGCACCCCTGTCAGACGAGACATATACCACGTGATGACACGTTAGGCTCGTGTTGTGTTCAAGGACCCTGACCTTGGCCAGGAAAAACAGGCACTCGCTTGTTTAATTTTTTTGCGGTCTAGATTTCTTACATTTTTTTCTTTTTTGCGTGTGTTTATAAATTACCTCGAGGGCCGTACCAAATTGTCTCGCGGGCCGTATACGGCCCGGAGGCCGGAGGTTCCCCACCCCTGCCTTAGAGTAATGTTACCAATCCCTGTCTTGACCAGCCCCTCTGCCCATGTGGTTCGCCCTGCTTTTCGCCCTGCTTTCCCCATGTACCTCTTAGATACCTCGATTTTGGCTGACATGCTGTGTGCTGACCATGGATACATAAAATATAGGACTAGTCCTAACACAACTATCATGGCAAGTATGCAGAGGAACCATTTTATGATTGTCCAGGCTCTCCAGTAGTATCCACATTGCTCACGGTTGCGTTGTCGCCTTTCCAGGCGAGCCCTCATCACGAGGGGGAAATGCTCCATGGGGTGTGTGTGTGTATTCCCTCGGTCGATTTTGCGACACGGACAGTCAGACTTTGCACACCGGTAACACAAACGAGGAACCAGAGGCATATGGAACCGCTCAGCTGGCACTCGCTCGTGACACATTGTGTGTAGTGTGTTTTAGTGTATGTAGTGCAAGTGTGGTGCTGGTGGTGACTAGGACACGTCACTTGTTGTCGTCTTCCGTTGGTGACTAGGACACGTCACTTGTTGTCGTCTGCTTCCGTTGGTGACTAGGACACGTCACTTGTTGTCGTCTGCTTCCGTTGGTGACTAGGACACGTCACTTGTTGTCGTCTTCCGTTGGTGACTAGGACACGTCACTTGTTGTCGTCTGCTTCCGTTGGTGACTAGGACACGTCACTTGTTGTCGTCTTCCGTTGGTGACTAGGACACGTCACTTGTTGTCGTCTGCTTCTGTTGGTGACTAGGACACGTCACTTGTTGTCGTCTGCTTCCGTTGGTGACTAGGACACGTCACTTGTTGTCGTCTACTTCTTCCGTTTCTCCTTTCCTGTGACTACGACCTTGCAGTGGCTGGCGTGGACCCACGTAGTTCTCTCGGCGACCTTGACCGCTGTCTGGGTGACGAGAAGCACCTGGTAGGGACCTTGCCAATGATTGGATTTCCAGCTCTTTCTCCGGAAATCCTTGACCAGCACAAAGTCGCCGGGTTGGAGATGGTGAAGTGGACCAGTGGCAGGGGTAGGCAAGGCTGCGGCTACCTGATGTCGGATGTCTGCTAAAGTGGATGACAGGTTAACACAATAGGACAACATAGCATCCTCACACAAAGTTGTGGAGGGAAGAGGACATCCTGGAGCCTTGAGTCCAATCTGTGGAGGAGCCCCAAAAATATTTCAAATGGGCTGAGTTGACTCCGTGTTCTTTTCCTCATCCGCATGTACATCAGCACAATGGGCAGAGCTTGTGTCCATGACAGACCTGTGTCTGCACAGCATTTTGCTAGTTTGTTTTTTATTGTGCCTCATTAGCAAAATGTGAACCATTGTCGCTAGAAATGTTGTCTGGTAGTCCCCATCTAGGAATGATTTGCTGTCTGTGCTTTTACTGGGAAAGCTTCAACCCATTTGGACCACATGTCAACCACCACCAGACAGTGCTACCCTCTGATGGGCTAAGCTCAATGAAATCCAGCATTAGGTGCTCAAATTGCCTGGTGGGAGGTGGATGTGCTCCGGGTCCTGTAACCTTTACTGCTCTACCAGAATTGTGCATGATGCAAATTAGGCATGCTTCACAGTGCTTTTGAGCTGTTACTGTGAACCCCCTTGTGAACCACTCCTGATTTATAGACTCTAACATCCCTCCCTTTGGACACATGGTCCAACCCATGTGTCAACTTAGCGAAATGAGGGAAGAAATGTCTTGGGAGACATGGATTTGAATTTGGACCAACCCAGATGCAGGAGGTTGGGTCAAAAGCAGCCCCAGCAGCCTTCCACTGAGCCTTCTCAACTGGTGTAGCTAGCTGCTGCATGGAAGTCAGTGATGACATTTTGTCAGTGAAGGAGGAGACAGGGATTTTAACAAATGAGTGTGCGTGAGGTGTGAGAGGAATCAGAGCAGCTGCCTTTGCGGCTGAGTCAGCAGGCGCATTTCCTAGGGAAACTGGGTCTGTACTGCTTGCGTGTGCGGCACATTTACAGACTGCAACTTCAGATGGGAGCAGAATGGTGTCTAGTAAGCCTGCAACCAGTACATGGTTAAGTACTGGTTTGCCATCAGATTTCAGAAATTGTCTACACTTCCAAATAGCCCCAAAATCGGGTACTACCCCAAAAGCATAACGTGAGTCAGTGTAAATAGTCACGGTTTTGCCTTCTGCAAGCGTGCAGGCTTCAGTTAGTGCGATCAGCTCTGCCGCTTGAGACGAGAGGTGACATGGGAGTGGTCCAGAACGGAGTACAGCAGAATCTGAAACAACAGAAAAACCCACCCGATTAGTGCCCCCTTGGTCGCGAGAGGCCCATCAACATACAAAATGAGGTCAGCGTTGGTCAGAGGAACGTCTTTTAAGTCCGGTCTAGGTGTGCACACAATGGAAAGTTCGGCAACACAGTCGTGTTCGTCACCGTCCTCAGGTAAAGGCATAAGAGATGCTGGATTCAGAGTGTTACATCGCTTGACATAAACATTAGGCATGTCTAACAGGCATGTGTGATACCTAAGGTAACGTGCAGCAGAGAAGTGTGATGTTCTCTGTTCAAGGAGGATGAGTGAAACAGCATGTGGAACTAACAGGGTCAAAGGTGCATATCCCACAATGTCACGTGAGGAATTGAGCGCTTTTTCAGCAGCAGCCACTGCACGTAGACATTTAGGCAGGCCAGCAGCTACAGGATCTAGCTTGGAGGAAAAATAGGCAACAGGCCTCTGTTTTCCTCCATGATCTTGAAGAAGAACTGAGGTCATACACCCATTTTGTTCATCCACTGCTTGAGTGAAAGGTTTAGTGTGATCAGGTAGACTTAGAGTCGGTGGGGATTGGAGAGCCAGCTTCATATTAACCTGTTAAACCCCGAGCCTGTTTTTCAGGTTTCAGGCTCGAAACTGACATTCCCAGAACAAATTACCATATCTTCCCTTCTAAAAGGGTTAAATTAATAATCTTTTTTCTCAAAGTAATGATAAACCTGTGAGTTGGATGTAGAAAAGTCAGATTCAATATAGATGTTTTTTATTTTAAAGAAAATTCAGATTGAACATGGTAAAAAACTGTAAATTATAATGTCCGTCCAAAACATATTTTGTACTTATAGTGAAAACTAACCTTGGATGATGGGTTAGTAGACTAAAAGCTTTAGGAATCCAAAGTACAACATATAATAAGTACCCTGTATCAAGGTTGATGCAAAACAAGTGATATTTGACCTTTTTAGACAGATTTAGCAAAAAAAACCCTCTTCTGGGGCCATTTGGGTGGATTTTCCATATCTCTGGCCCCACTTGCTCGATTTTGACATGTGACATCTCTTTCTGACAGTCAGAGCCAATGGAATCGAGGGGAACTCCCACATAGTCCTTATTTGGTCATGTGTATGTGTGAGACTGCTGCATTGCCAAGACCGGAAGCAGCAGCTAGCTGTGGTGGCTACCATTAGCAGCTAGCATTTACTCTCTGATGTTTACATAAAAATGGAATTATGGATTATAAATTCAATCAGTTTTTTATACATGGACGTTAAGAACCTATGGATTAACAGATTCAGCCACGTTTTTTCTCATTTTAATGCCATTGAACACGTACTTTGATCAGATTGACAGCTACTTGTGAGACGATCTCCCTAGAAGCTTCGTAAAGGTACGTGTTGTGATGACTGTATTTGCTTCCCCTGTCGCGAGTCCGGATCACTCAGTGATGATACTATATACCTACATAATCTATGGAGTCTCAGCTTTAATCAGATATATTGTATGTGCAGCTACGATAAGTAATAAGGGTACTTTTATCTTGAGTTCTGTGCCAATGTCCGTTAGCATTTTTCGCTCAGGGGTAATTTAGATGCTTCTTGTGAGACTTGTGTTTTGTTTTGGTAAACATGGTTTCTATCGGCAGTTAGCTGAGATTATTTCCGTTAATCTGGTATAATACATTAATAGGTTCTTAAATATTAAGATCCCCTGAGACACAGTATCGTGAAAAAAAGACCCAGGGTCCCCGCCGGCGGGGACCTTCGGGCTTAACAGGTTAATGAAGGCTTCGTCGGCTTCCGGTGTCCATATAAGGCAGTGACCACCAACTGGCGGCCCGCGGGCCACATCCGGCCCGCCAGACATTCTCATCCGGCCCGCACGACGGGGGTGACTGTGGCGTTGATTACTGCGTTCGCCTCCCACCCTTTTATTTTTTTACAACGTCGTGAGTAAGGTGCAGTACCGGAGTCCAACAGAGAGGCAGCAGCTGCGGGACAGTAGACTGCGTACTGCGAAACCTTCCCTCTCTTGAAGAAGAAGTGATCCTTCGTTGTGAAGAGTCTGCTTTGTGCGCTTCGCACCACAGCAGCAGCCCTGCTGCGACAGAGTCCAACAGAGAGGCAGGAGCTGCGGGACAGTAGCCTAGAAGCAGGGTTGGGTTAACCATACTGGTTGTAACGGAATATATGTAACGACGTTACGCAGAATATAAAAATCAAGTAGGCTAACTGTATTCAGCTGGCGTTACATTTGAAAAACGAGTAATCTGATTAAAGTTACTTTCGTAACCTGAAGTGAATACATTTTGGAATACTTATTGGAATTATTGGTGGAAAAGTTTTCTCACAAAATGTAATATTCATTACCGGCAGAACTGTGTGCACACTGCACAGCGCTGCAGCATGTCTGTGAGCGAGAGAGAGATGCAGCGTGTCTGTGAGGCCCCGCCCCCGCACGCAGATGAGAGAGATCTCTTTTAAAATGTGCAAGATAACGTTTATGTAGCATTTCTTTATTGTCGAAATTATGACATTTCATAACGATCAAATCAAAGTGAATGGCCTGCTGCTGCTGAATGCATGGGTCAAGTGACTGGAAAAAGTTTTAAAAGTTATTACATTGTTTCAGATAATAAATTAAAGGTCCGCAGTAGCTGAGCATGCTCCACTAGCATTGTGGACTATATGGAAATCGCTGGCCCGCGATAGTGTCTATTGGATACATTTTGGCCCTTGGACAAATGTAGTTGGTGATCCCTGATATAAGGTGATTTGTAGGTTTCAAACCAGTGACGTACGTGATAGTACGCAGTGGCAACTCGATTGGAGAATAGTTTGGAATTAATGACCTGCAGTATGAACAAAAACCCAAAAATGACATCATCTGTCGCTTAGTGACAGGTTTTGGCAGAGCAGCCAATGATGCAATACGCTTATCTGAAAGCGTTTTCCCCTCTCCTGAAATGACATGACCCAAAAATGTAACTGTTCTTTGTACATATTGAAGTTTAGACAAACTGGCCTTGTGGCCTTCGGCTGCGAGGTGCATTAACAAAGCAATAGTATCAGC